CTGAAATGTTCCTTACTGCCTGAGCAGAGACTAAGGATATACCAGGGCCCTGCTTTTTGCTCTTGTTGTGCTTGTTTTTATACTCTAAACAGGTTTTTCCAGATGAGGAGAAAGAAATACAGATTTGCTTGAGAGGGGTAAGGATGGTCCAAAAGACGAACATGCTGTCTTTCTGAGCCAATAAACTGACTTAAGGTTAAACACACATAGTTTCTGCTCTAGTCTTTTCTGCTGTCTTCAGCACTTTACAAATAGCAAGTGGCTGCTTATTATTGACTATCAATTGATTGGTGAAAATACGTAGACCGAGAAGGCAAACACATACATCTTACTGCTCTCTCTGTGTTCTACTTCTCTGTTTTTATTTGTGAAGAGCACAGAAAATAAAAAGGTGCTAAAAATGTTATATGTGAAATGCTCTACAGGACATGCCACAGTTTTCCATGAAGGCTTCATTAAAAGTATAAACAAACAAAGCTTGTAAGGGTAGCTCAGTTAGTGAAGTGTTTGCCATATGAATCTAAGGATGTGAGTTTGATCCACAGAGCTCATCTAAAATGTCAGGTATGGTGCAATGTGTTTGTCCTACCAGGACTTGGGAGGAAAAGTAGAAGAGATCTCTTGAGCTCACAGGAGAGCCAACATAGCCTCCTTTCTAGATTTCTAGAGCAATAAGAGCCCTTGTATAAAAAAAAAGAAAAAAACCTGAGGAGGAACTGTGCCTCTTCAGGAATGAGACTTAAGGTTGTCCTCTGGCCTCTACATGGTACCCACACACAGTACACAAACAGGAGGTTACCATTACTATTTCTACCATTCACAGATCAGCAACAACATTTCCCATCCAAATAAGCTCAAAGATGTGACCCTCTACTCATTTCAGGGATATTGTAACAGGCAATAAGTTAATTTCTGAGGGTATAGGAATTATTTGCATGAAATATTCAATAATTATTCCTAAACGTACATCTAATTAGAATAACTAGTAATCATTCTTCCTCACACAATCCACATTAAAATGGTCTCCAATGCTGCTCACTGGCCACCCTTGAAACTCTCTCCATGGTCCCCCTATGAAATGTTCCAAGGACATAGAATCTACCTGGCTGATTTCTGTCTCCTGGCACTCAAGGTGCTCTAAAACATATCTTTCCATACAAGATCATAGATAATTCAAAAATGGAGAGTCGACCCAGTATACTCCAAAGCTTAAACCCAAACTCATTCCACTTGTCTTAGTTTAGTAATAAACTTGACACATCCCAGAATTACCTGGAAAAGTCTTAATGAGAGATTGCCTATGTTGCACTGACCTGTGTACACAATTCTGTAAGGAATAATCTTATGTTAATTGATGTGAGAAGACCCGTCCCACTGCGAGCAACACCATTCTCCAGTCAGGGCGTCCTAAACTGTATGACATTAGAAATCAAGCTAATGCAAGAAAACAAGTGATCATAGATACATTCATTTCTCTTTGCTCTTGAAAGTTCAATGAACTAGTTGTTTTCTTTTTGTTTTTTTTTTTTAACTTTCTGCCACCTTGACTTTGCTCTTATGGTGGACTGTAACCTGGAATTAAGAGCAAAAATAAATCCCTTTTGCCTGTAGTTGGATTTTGTCAGTACATTTATTACAGCAACAGCCATGAAACACTCTCCCTTTAGGTTATGAGGAAAGAAGGGTCATCTAGACTTTGGCTGGACTTTATATTCCGATATGCCCTGCTCTGCTCTTGACTCTTTATACAGAGTCACTAATCTTTCAGAGAAGCCTACCACACTCTGTTTTCTTAGATAGTTATGCCTGTGATCACACAAATCATTTTTTTTATTGATTTTTATTGAGCTCTACATTTTTCTCTGCTCTCCTCCTTGCCTCTCCCCTTCCATTTAATCTTCTCCCAAGGTACACATGCTCCCAGTTTGCTTAGAAGATCTTGTGTTTATCTACTTCTCATGTAGATTAGATATATGTATGCCTCTTTTAGGGTCCTTTTTGTTGTTTAGGTTCTCTAGGATTGTGAATTGTGGTTGGTTTTCTTTGCTTTATGTTTACAAACCATTTATGAGTGAGTACATTGATAATTGTCTTTCTGGGTCTGAGTTACCACACTCAATATGATGTTTTCTAGCTCCATCTATTTGCCTGCAAAATTCAAGATGTCATTATTTTTTTCTTCTGTGTAGTACACCATTTGTAAATGTACCACATTTTCCTTATCCATTCTTTGGTCATGAAGCATTTAGATTGTTTCCATGTTCTGGATATGACAAACAATGCTGCTATGAACATAGTTGAGCACATGTCCTTGTGGCACAATTGAGCTTCCTTTGGATATATACCCAAAAGTGGTACTACTGAGTGGTGTGGGAGAATTGTCTGTATTCTGTCAATTATGTTTTAAATAAATGCTGATTGGCCAGGCAAGAAGTATAGGTGGGTCCACCAGACAGGAAGTAGAGGCGGGGTGATGAGAACAGGAATATTCTGGGAAGCAGGAAGCTCCCTCCACAGTTCTTTCCAGATCACCGAAGAAGCAAGATGTGAGCTGCCCCACTGAGAAAGTTACTGAGCCATGTGGCTAACATAGATAAGAACAATGGGTTAATATAAACTACAAGAGCTAATAAGTAGCCTGAGCTAATGGGCCAATCATTTTTATAACTTATGGAGATCTCTGTGATATTCTTCAGAGCTTGCCAGCTGTGGAAAACTGGGCAGGACGTAAACCCCAACAAACAGGCCCTCATGTTACAACTGGGTCTTGAGGAAGGTCATTTTCTAATTTTCTGAGAAATTGACACTCTGACATCCAAAAGGGGCTGTACCAGCTTGCATTTCCACCAGCAGTTCTGGAGCATTTCCTTTACTCCACAACCTCTCCAGCATAAATTGAATCATTTAAGAACCTTCTCTGTCTTCTCTACCCAGCCACCACTTCCTTGTGGTCAATGCCCATTTTGTACTAGGAAGTGAATCGTGATGTGTAGAGGAGACCTGTTCCTTTCTGAGGGTTTCTACATCACTTGTTTCCTCCTCAGTCTAAGGCAACTCTATACTACAGTATGTGGCTGGGGATAGAAGCTCAAATATGTGTGATGGAGAAGCCTTGGCATGTAGGCTGGGTGGAAAATGAGAATTAAAATACCTGAACAGAAAGCTCGTGCCCCTCTCGGCTAATCTTCACCTGATGCACTTTTCTGTTGGCCAAGTTCTCTGTGTTGATGGTGAACACATGACTTTCTTCCTTGTTAAGCCGATAGCGAACTTGTAAACTTCCTTGAAAGCAAAAAGGTACGGAAGGATTAAAATTAAAATTAGCAAGCACAACACAGAAAAACAGGATTAAATTGTTCATGAATTGTTTGTTTCTGTTTTCTGGGCCTCAATAACTCAGCATTAAAGATTTTTAAGATTTATAAATTCATTGGCATTGAAATATAAACTTCTGAATATAGCAGCATAAGTGTGTCTCTGTGTTGTTCTTGTTTTCTATATGTGCTGTTTTAAATTACTAGTCTAGTTTGAGATAATTATGGTGACATAGAGTTATAATGTCAGCACTTATGAAGTGGATATAGGCATATTCAGATTTCAGGACAGCTGGGTTACAGAATGAGATCCTGCCTCACAGGATCAGTTAGAACAGTTAGAAAGATGAAGAAAGGGGATAGAGAGGAGGAAAGAAAGGAAGAGGGGAAAAGGGGAGGAGGAAAGACAGAGGAAATAAGAGGACCACTTTGACAAGCACACCCACAGACCAGTTTTGTAACTGGAATATGAAAACATGAGCATGGCTTGGTTATTCTCATGGCATGGTTCTCTGAAAATCACCTTCCACTTCTGAGGTTGAGGAAGAAGAAACTTACCTGTTTCCATCCACTAATGTTTAATGTAATGTTTCCAGTTTGAGTGTGGTGTGATTAAGACTCGGTGACCAACCTAAACTTGCATGACAAAATTCAAATTTTGACAGGAGAGTGTTTTTCAAGTAACTTTTCGCTATCCCTGGGGTCAGGAAATCAATCCACTGAGCCTCAGAGGCTACAAAATGAATGGAAAATAAATGGAATTTTGGAAGTATATGAAGGTATATGAAGGACTGTCTTCCTTGCCTTTTTCCATGGGAGGGGGAAGGAGAGGATTGAGGGAGTGAGGAAGACAAAGTGTTGCAGCATAAACAGAATTGCTACTTTAGTGTGATTTCCATTTTCAATCTGAAAGCTACTCTACATGGAAAAAGTGATGTGGAAGACAAACTTTCACTGGCTTTTTTATCGCACGCATGTTTTCCCATTTCTCCTCTTCAACATGGCTAATGGTCTCAGTTGCTCTGTCCGCTCTGAGGGTTCATGAGCACTTTATGTACAGTTGGAGTCTTCCTCAGACACCAGAAGTTCTCTCCCATAGTACACACGGGAGCACAAAAGGCTGGGAGCAAAGTACAGCATCATATTCTGAGGGCATTATGGAGAAAAGTATATTTACTCAAATCTGAGCCAAGAAGTATGGTTCTGATCCATCCCTGCACACTTCCTCATTGCTTTTATCTTCCTCAACAGACTCGTTTTTCTCACTGTGGACAACCATAGGAAAACAACAGGGCTTGTGGTCAAGATTGATATTCTTGGTCATCGTGCCAGTACTTGCATGCTCTTTGCCTTTCTCTGCCTTTCTGTGACTGTTAATATTCACTGTCTCTCTCTTCCCTTGGGTTCTCTATCACCACACTCTTTTCTCAAGCCCACACAATGGTAAACACTTTAGATTTACAGTCCCAAGGTAGCAAACTGTCACAGGGAATGCACTATCAACATAACAAACTAAAGAATAGGCTAAGTCCCAGGTCAGAAGCACACTGAGAGCAATGCATCATACTGCATTTTTTCCCACTTGATCTCATTTTTCTCTCTAGTATACATTAGTAGTGTTGTGCATAAATGGGATACTTTTTCTTCATGAATTTGGGCAGAGATTTGCTGTTTATAATATGGAAATTAAAAATAAAAATGATTTTTGGGATGCAGTTATCTCTTTTTTTCCAAATATGTTCCTTAAATAAATATTTGTAACAGAATGCACTCTGGTCCCCAGCAAGTACTGCATAAAATTTTAGTGGGTTCTTTTAATGTTGATACACTCAAGTTTTATATATATATATATATATATATATATATATATATATATATATATATCTTCTTTTTTCTTCCTTTTTTTATACCTTTGAGCCAAATCTATACTTTTATTCCTTTCTGCACATGAGAGCTACACAACAGTTATTATCAATACTACTTTAAAAATATAATAGTTGGACCTAGTGAGATATCTTAGCAGGCAACAGTGTTTGACGACTTGCATTCCATCCCTGGGTTCCATGCATAAGAAGGAAGAACTGGCTCTGAGAAGTTGTTTTCTGATTTCTACACACATGACATGGCACACTGTGCACTCATACAGAAACATACAATGAATATATTAGTATGAAAAAACTCTTTAATTGAAAATAATAGTGTGAAACTTATACTAAAACAAACAAAATTAACTAGAATTAAACATGGTGATGAGGATCCTTTTTCAAATGAATCACATCCACATTTTAAAAGATGCCCTTGTCAAGCTGAACAGAATTACATTGCTTGCCTTATTAAGCAAATTCATTATGATTGAGTTCCTGTCTTCCATGTTCATCTAGAAAGTTCTTTTCTTTTTATTAATTTTACAGATACAAAAAAACAAATGAAAGTTTTAGAAATTGAAGAACTTCTTAATGTACTTATTTAATAGATTTTAGGGTCTGGTGTAGAAACTATGGCTAGGTGGTTACAATGGTCACAGGCTTTTTTTAGAATGCAATAGCCCCAGTTAGCCCGTCATCCCTTCCCAAAGGGGTCTCCAGTGAGAAGTTTTCACATTAGGCTCCTTTCCTCATCCTTCAGAATTCAGCCTGATGTTTCTCTCGGGGAACAACCTGGATTCTGTAAGCTCGGAGGCCTGTCCATCTTTATCCTAGCTTACACTGTATGATATTGATCGTAATCTGCACTCTCTAGAAGTCAGGACATCGTGTGTGTGTGTGTGTGTGTGTGTGTGTGTGTGTGTGTGTGTGTGTGACAGAGAGAGAGAGAGAGAGAGAGAGAGAGAGAGAGAGAGAGATTAATTTGTATGCATATATAGTGTTCATATCCATTTTTGCACCTGTAGAAGCTAAAGGTTAATACTGAGTCTTCCCTGGCTCATCCCCACCTAACTTTTTGAAATAGGATCTCTCACTGGTTGACCAAGAGCTCACTGACTGGTTAGACTGGGTGGTGATGGGGCCCTGTAAAGCCTCCCATCTCCACATTCTCAGTACTGCAGGTTTTACATGAACACTGGAGATCCAAGTTCAGGTCCTCATGCTTGCATAGCAAGCAATTTATTGATCAGGCCATCTCCCCAGTCCCCCTAGTTCCGTATTCTATATCTTCTTGAAGTGTGTATCTTTAAAATGTTTTCAATCTAGTTAAAATAGACTAAAGCAACAGTCTTCCTGGTGCTGTGACATATCTGGCAGGGATGAGGTACATAACCCCGTATTAGATATGTTTACCATTGAATTAGGAAGTGAAAACTCAGGGCTGAGGATGTATGTTTCTGGTAAAGCACTTGATTCCCACAGGCAAAATCCTGCCTGGATTGGATGCTCATTCATGCAAACACAAAATACAAGCAAACAAACAAAACTAACCCATGTCTATTACAGTTTGAGCACCTCGTTTGGTGGCACCATATTCATTTATTTATTTTTTGCTCACGTTAGAATCCGTATAGATGTCCTCAAGTCCTTCCTGTGTTTCTCACCAGTGCTGTCTCCCATAGGTTCCACATTCAAAACCTACTGCTCTCCGTAAAATCAAGTATGAAGCCGTGTTCTACCCACACACTTTAAAGTAGCCTGGAAGGCATTTACCCCGAGTGTTTGTGACATCTGAATGAGTTACTTTGCTTGCAGTCACACTTCTCTATCTTTCACATTTGTATATTTTTATGCCACATATTCAAATAAGCATGCAACTTGTGAAGTAATGTCACTGTTTCAATTGTTTTAATAGCTCCCCAATGTCCTTAGATTGAGCTAAACTTGGATATGGTTAGAAGATGCTGTGTTACCTTTTACCATTCCCCCTTAAACTTAGTTCACTGTATACTTTCCCTCACCTTCTACGCTCTCTGACTATATTTTCTGTTGCCTTTTTTTTGCCTTTTACTTATTACACTTACTTCTCTTTCTAGTTAGCAATGTCTTATACATCTTTACCAGGGAGCAGCTCCTCTTTCACTAGTTAGGTCCAAAGCAGTCAACCAAATCGTGTTTTCTTTATGCATGAAGACACCAATTTTCACACTACTTGTTGGGATGTATTATCATAGAATCAGTATCAAACTTCAGTATTTGTTATTGCTTTCAACTCTAGAACTGCTACAATACAAATCAATTACCTATCTCTCCCATTATCCTCCTCATCTTTTACCTCTTCCTCTAAGACCCAGTCTTCTCTCTAAGATGTAAGATTAACAGTCAATTGTCCTTGAAGATGGCAATCACGTTCAACATTTTCAAGGCCTCTCCTCTCAACTAAATTACCTGATCATCACCATGACCAGACTTATACAAACTTAAGTTCTTTGGCTCATCATGGGTCACTGTGGGTGGGTATTGGGGTGGCAGAACCAGAACCAATGACACTGTTCTTAGTGGCTTAAGTGAGGGAAGAAAAATATAAATAATATGAATCATTCATAGGTCACATTAGATTATGCCCACCTTTAAGTGAGTCTCTCTTGTGTGGTTTCAATAAATGTACTTCTTATGCCCCATTACCTCTTGGATCCGAACATTTAATGCCTTTCTTCTTTCTCAGACGACAGTCTATGATTTTCTTTTCTCAATCTCAGCTAATGACCTTATTTCCTATTTAAGAATACTGAAGCAATAAACAATAACATTTGCAATTCCTTTGGCTTCTCTGCCATCCTTTCTGTTAGTTCTTGTGAGCGTTTCTGTGCACACTTCAGTGTAACATCAGGAAACAATGTCCTGTGTCCTCCTTTGCTTTCCACAGTTCTGGAGACAAGGTCTCTGCTGTCTGTCACTGGCCAGGCTTTATCTCGCTGGTCTGGCCTGTGAGGTCCAGGGATTCCAGTCTTTGCTCCACCGCATCTGTCTCACTTTAGGATTGTGGAGAATATAAACATGCACTACTGTGTTTGCTTTGTATGTGGGTTCTTGGGATTCAAACTCATATTCTCAAAGTTGTGCAGCAAATGCTTTGCCCACTGGACCATCTTCCTAAACCCACATTTGGGAGTCGTATCAAAGAAACTACTTGTGCTCTCATTCAGCGTCAGCTTATATTCTTCTCATCCTTCATCTCTAGTTGAAGACAGTACTTTAGGAATCACCCTCCTGGCTCCTTTATAATCTGTTTGCTTTCTTCATATCAACAGCCTCATGCTCATTACCATTTTCCTATCCTAAAATAAACATCCTCAGTCTCCTTTACCCTAGTATTTTGAACTCTCATCTGGTCTACACTAGGTACCCCTAGACTCTACCCATGCTTCTTGTCTCTGATTCTTGCATCCTCCTGACTCTCAATCACAATCCTATCAGATTTATCTGGGCATTTCCCCAAAGTTTCTAATGCCATCTGTGGCATGTATACATTTCTAAATACAATTGCTGATTCACAACGCATATCTAATTCTTGTTAGCATTTCACATTGTCCTTCTCTTTCATGATAAATTTATTTTCAGCATATTTTTGCTTCTAGTTTTATTCTCAGTTCACTGTCAGTTCTTTCTCCCATTCGATGGCTAATTTCCTCGATGTCCTGTCTTTGCTTAATGTTGAAATTATTAGGTGTGAATTCACGCCCCCAAATTTCTCTAGAAACCATACTAGGCAATCTCACAGAGTTTTGTAGCTCCAAAGGCTATCAATTTCTGTGCCGGGGGTTGATGGGAACAGTGTCGTTATGGTGGAGCTCTGTGAGTTTAAGCCCACCCTGGTCTGCAGAGTGAATTCTAGAATAATCAGGGCTGTCTTGAAAAACACCATACAAGCATCACAGAAAGTAAAAAAAAAAAAAACAAAAAAACCAAAAAAACAACAACAAAAAAAACAAGAAAAGTGCTCAACTTTCATCAGAGAAATAAGAATCTAAACCGTATTGAGATATGGAATTACATGCATTGGCATGGGCATTACTGAAAAGACAAGAGACAATAAGAGTTTGTAACAGAATGAAGAAAGTAGAACTCACGTAGAGTATGCATGATATGTTTACTATATAACTTTTTTGAAAACAAGGTGAATGCTATTATGTGAGATTTTAAGACATGGGATTGATGATGGCTCAGTTGATAAAGAACTGAGTTTTATCTCAAGGAACCATGGAGTAGACTGAGAAACTGATTTTTCCAAGTTGTCCTCTGCCTTCCACATGTGCACTGTCACATGTTAGCATGTGCAAACACACACACACACACACACACACAATCAGACAAATACTATATTGAATATTTTAAGATGGAGCTTCCATGTGATTTAGCTATTATATATATGTAATATTGTATATAATATATATCCATA